TTTTTTTTTTTTTTTTTTTTTTTTTTTTTTTTTTGTTGCGAAAGTTTGTGTCAAGAATAAAAGGTGTTCTTAAACCTGATATCTTTCTCGTACCAGAGCCAAGTGTTTCAAAACAGTCAAAGTATTATTTTTCAATAATTGGATTGGGAACGCAAAGGTTGGTCGAATTTCAAAATCAATCTTTAAATAAATAAAAAATATTAATAAAACTGACTTATTTAGGAAGAAAAACATCTAATAAATATGTAGTTATAAAAGTATGTACAATACTCAATTATTATAGTAACATGGCGTTAAAGATAAAATACATATACCGAGATTTGGGTACGTTATATTAAAATGATTTTAAAAATGCAATTGAGCAAGTTACGTGACAACATCAGCCTATATAACTTCGCGGTGAAATAGAATGTATCAGAACTACTTTTCAACATTGTTTGACATATTGTAGATAGTGTGATGGCACCGAAAATTGGTCGCATTTGAAAAGAAAATGTAAGCTCTTTCCGACGAAAAGTATTTAAAGACTAAGATCATAAAAATGTGTTTAGATCGAGGATTTAAAATTTCTAAGACAAGGACATTCATTGTACTTAATAGGGTTGGAAGAATGGAAATATGGATCAAAATGGGAACCCAGGACCATCAAAAAAGAGACCCGTAAAAAGTCATACCCCATCTGAGGTAAGCATAGTGTGGCGTCTTCTAACAGGTGAGAATACACGAACAGAAAGGGCATTAGCAAAAGTCGCTCACGTACCCCAGGCAATAATACGCAACATAATCCAGAAGAATCTCCGTCTGGAAAACAAAAAAGCGATATAAGTTACGTGTACACAAACTGCTTCTACGACATATCCATTCAACCGTGGCACACCTCAAGCAGTTGGATAATGAAACGGGTGTTCATGCTATTCCATACGAAAACACACAGGCAAGTCGCTCCTATGAATTTCTCTGAGACTGAACTGGTGAAACGGAAGCTGGAAAACTATCGTCTTACTGCATTAGATGGCTTGTGAAACATAAGCATGAAGGAGGGATATGCTTTGGACATGATAGCCTTACGACAGAAACTTTTGTAAAGGAAACTATGCTGCGAGGCTATTGTCAAGATGCACAGTCCTCAAACAGAGCATGATCGGACGTGGCAACTTGAAGCGTAATTACGTGATGAAGTTTCAAAATTGTTTTAATAAACCGTACTTAAACTACAGTAACGTATAATAGGCTATTATTTATTATCCTTCTGATGTGACTGCCAATTTTAATTTCTCTCTAATTTATAATAGTGACTAATAACACTTTGTAATTTACTATCATTATGGGGTCACACAGCGTGCATTTCATTATTACTATTATTCTGTGTTTTTCTTATAGCAACTCGGGCAATCTGCTGTGTCCATCGACAGAAATCGAACCCCAGATTTTAGCGTTGTAACTCCGAAGACTTGCCGCTGTCCTGCCAGGGGACATTATTATTCTGCGCCATTATATCTTTTTATTATTCTGGCATAACATAGCATATAAATTATGAATTTGGCGTAACACTGAATGTATTGTATTAACATTTAAGCCTCACATGATGTATTTTGTTTTTTATTTTGGCGTAACATGGCACGTATTGTTGAAATTCTTTGTTTGTTTGTTTGTTATGG